CCACCTCGTCCTCCTCTTCTCCCCTGGGGGCGGCGCGAGAGCGCGAAGTTATTCGCGCTTCGCGAAGCGCAAAGTTGGGCATCCTTGTTCGAGTGGCTTCGCAATTCCGTCTTTAGAACGCAGTAGACTGCTCTAGCATCTGGCAGTCGATGACGAAGCGCCGATTTGGCGTCGAGCTGGCGCCGATTAGCCTCGACTAGCGCCGACCCGCAAGAGCAAGCAAGATTGCCTGGGAAGGCTCCCACGACTTACCACAGAAGCAGCAAAATCCAGACCGTGGCCCGTGCACCACGCCGATGGCAGGAGCCCGCCGCCGCGGCGGTGATCCCCCCGCGCACGCTCCGAGGCCCGCGCGCCGCCCGGTCTCCGTGGACCTCGCCCTGGCTTGCTGACGCGGCGCCGCGGGCCGCCACTGCGCCGGACGGCGCCGCCTCAGCCCCGCCGCAGCCGTCGCCGTCGCCGTCGCCGTCGTCGCCGTCGCCGTCGCCGTCGCCGTCGCCGTCGTCGCCGTCGCCGTCGCCGAGGCCGCCGCCGTCGCCGTCGTCGTCGTCGTTGTCGTCCTCGTCGGCTGTCGTCGTCCTCGTCGGCTGTCGTCGGCGGCGGCGTCGTCGTCCTCGTCGGTGTCGTCGTCCTCGTCGTCGTCGTTGGCGTCGTGCGTACTCCGATCCTGGTCCTACCACCCCCTGGATTAAAATCCGGCAGGCCCCCTTGCATCGTCCCTCCCCGAGAGGTAAACATGACTGGCAAGAAGTACCAGGCAGAATCGCAACTTCCAAGCAACATGACTGGGACCGGAAATTCACTCGCGAGGAAGTCCCAAGCGAATCGCCAATTTCCGGTCGCCACTGAGAATTTCCGGTCGCCTGAAAAGCGTCCGGAAATTTGTTTGGAAGAAGTATTAGGCGGAATGCGGATTTCCGGTCGTCAGCCCATTTGGCGACTATAAGAGTAGAGGGGGTGAGGACGGACCGGAAATTTAACCATGGCGGCCCTTGCAACATTGTACCGGGGCCCCGTGGCTTAACGGGAGCCGAACATCAAGGCTTATTCCCCGACCTCTGCGGTCCGGATTTTTTCTTCCAGGGGGGTGACCACCGCGAGAGCACCACCGCTCGCGCATTTGCTAAGTGTCTACCTCAGAAGCGGGCGCCCACGCCGAACAAAGCGCACTCACCATTTAGTGCGCGCGCCGGGTGGGTGTGAGAGCAGGCAGTCTGCCGCCCTCTCTTTCCAGTTGGTGGATAGATACCAAAGCTGTTCCGACCTGCGCGCGTTCGCCCACCGCACAGCGGCCCGCAGACGCCTGACGAACGCGTCTCTGGGTTCAAGCTCGACCGGGCACGTTTCGTCCAATCGCTCACGCAAGATCTTCCATGCATTTTCGATGGCGTCGAAGTCTTGGGATACTTTCGGGTACTCATCGACAAGCTTCAAACCACAGCGGCTCAAGGCGTGCAGAGCCTCTGACGCCCGCAGGCACCCCTCATAATCGCACACAAGAAAATCGCAGTTCAGTTTCCAATCGTCAAACTTGTCCTTTATAAGATCAACATAAACAGCTCGATCCATGACCTCGCCCTCGTCCAAGACATGCACGTGCAGCACGCCAGCCGCCAGCATCCCCCAGACCCGGACTGGCTGGCCCTGAGCTTTGTTGTAGCTAGAAGGCCCCACGCGGTCTTCGTACAGAACGTCGCTGTTGTCAGACTTCCTCCAGACGTGGGACCCCAAAGACCTGCGAACCGCGTGCTCGTGTTCAGCTGCAGTCTTGTCAAGGTAGTACGTTGTGCCATCCACGTACGCCCATCTCTCCAGCGTGGCCTGGTGCTTCCGCTTCACTCTCTGGCAATATGCCACGCGCGCGGCGCGGCGCTGCCCAACTACGATCGACTTATTGCGACGCCTCAGCCAGGCCAAGTCGGCCTCGGCGAGACGTTCTTCAACCAGCGTGTCAGACAGCTTCCGCAGGAATGGGAACTGCTTATTGAGGCTTCTCACCGAGATTTTGGTGCTGCCGCGGATGTCCGGAACCCACTTGACGATTTCCCGGTCCTGTTTCTCCGACGTTTTCCGCGGGGCTCCCGACCCCGCCCTTCTCTCCCCGCGCCACCCAGAGTTCTCCTTCAATTTCCGAATGCAGTTGCTGATGGCCGACTCTTCAAATCACGTCCTGCCATCGGCCTTCTTCACAAGTTTTGCGATGCGGGTGCACCCCATTCCATGCTCCACGTGGGCCTTCACCTGGCCCACGTCGAACGCTGACGCGTGGTAGCCGGCCATCTGGGTTGAAGGCGGCCCGCGGAAGCGGGAAGAGGCAAGAAAGGGGTGCCTGCGCCAAAACGGCTACGGACAGCGAAGACGCGCGGTTGGCGAGCTCGCCCACCGCGACCGAGGGCGCACTTCAAGCCCCATGCAGTTCAAACTAACCAACGCAATACAAACGCATGTCATTGCAATGCCAATGCAATGCCAATGCAATGCCAGCACAAAACCAGCGCAATGCCGAGGAATGCCAACGCCATGCCGGCGCAATGCCAACGCAATGCCAACGCAATGCGACTCCAATGCCAATGACATACCAATGCGATGCCAGTGCAGTGACAGCGCAATGCACATGCAAAGCACGTACAGTCCCAATACAATACCAATGCGATGCCCAAGCTGCACCACGTGCCTCCAAGATACCACAATACCGCTCCAGAGAGGGCCCACGTGGCCGCGGGCGTTTCCTGGGTGATCTCCGAGGACCCGAGGACTGCGCACAAAATTTACATGATTTTCACATGTTTCCGCTTTACCTCATTGCGCAAGCGCGCGCGTGCCACTCGCTCGCGGGCAGGGGCGTGCGAAAGCGCGCAAGCGCGCTTTCTTTGGGGCAGCGACGCCAGCAAGAGCGACGCGGTCGAAACGTGATTCCATGTGACGCGATCTCACAACAACACGATCGCCCCACCCCCACTCCAGTTTTTTCACGAATGATGATCCGCAAGCGCTGACAGGGGAAACGGCCTACTCGAACGACGCATGCTGGCTTGGAAAGGACATTTTTTGCAACCACCCCTTGGATTACAAAGTCTGGATCGGCACTGCAGGCCCCCTTGCATCGTCGCTCCCCGAGAGGTAAACATGACCGGCAAGAAGTACCAGGCAGAATCGCAACTTCCAAGCAACAGAATTGGGACCGGAAATTGATTTGCGAGGAAGTCCCAAGCGAAATCGCCAATTTCCGGTCGCCACTGAGAATCCCCGGTCGCCTGAAAAGCGCCCGGAAATTTTTTTGGGGGGAATATTAAGCGGAATGCGGATTTCCGGTCGTCACCCCATTTGGCGATTATAAGATTAGAGGGGGCGAGGACGGACCGGAAATTTAACCGCGGCGGCCCCTGCAACATTGCACCGGGGCCCCGTGGCTTAACGGGAGCCCAACATCAAGGCTTATTCCCCGACCTCTGCGGTCCGGATTTTCTATTCCAGGGGGGTGACCACCGCGAGAGCACCACCGCTCGCGCATTTGCTAGGCGTCTACCTCAGAAGCGGGCGCCCACGCCGAACAAAGCGCACTCACCATTTAGTGCGCGCGCCGGGTGGGTTTGAGCAGGCAGTCTGCCGCCCTCTCTTTCTGGTTGGTGGATAGATACCAAAGCTGTTCCGACCTGCGCGCGTTCGCCCACCGCGCAGCGGCCCGCAGACGCCTGACGAACGCGTCTCTGGGTTCAAGCTCGACCGGGCACGTTTCGTCCAATCGGTCACGCAAGATCCCCCATGCCTTTTCGATGGCGTTGAGTCTTGGGATACTTCCGGGCACTCATCGACAAGCTTCAAACCACAGCGGCTCAAGGCGCGCAGAGCCTCTGACGCCCGCAGGCACCCCTCATAATCGCACACAAGAAAATCGCAGTGCAGTTTCCAATCGTCAAACTTGTCCTTTATAAGATCAACATAAACAGCTCGATCCATGACCTCGCCCTCGTCCAAGACACGCACGTGCAGCACGCCAGCCGCCAGCAACCCCCAGACCCGCACTGGCTGGCCCTGAGCTTTGCGGTCTTCGCACAGGGCGTCGCTGTTGTCAGACTTCCTCCAGACGTGGGGCCCCAAAGACTTGCGAACCGCGTGCTCATGTTCAGCTGCAGTCTTGTCAAGGTAGTACGTTGTGCCATCCACGTACGCCCATCTCTCCAGCGTGGCCTGGTGCTTCCGCTTCACGCTCTGGCAATATGCCACGCGCGCGGCGCGGTGCTGCCCAACCACGATCGACTTATTGCGACGCCTCAGCCAGGCCAAGTCGGCCTCGGCGAGACGTTCTTCAACCAGCGTGTCAGACAGCTTCCGCAGGAATGGGAACTGCTTCTTGAGGCGGCTGACCGAGATTTTAGCGCTGCCGCGGCTGTCCGGAACCCACTTGACGATTTCCCGGTCCTGTTTCTCCGACGTCTTCCGCGGGCCTCCCGACCCCGCCCTTCTCTCCCCGCGCCACCCAGGGTTCTCCTTCAATTTCCGAATGCAGTTGCTGATGGCCGACTCTTCAAAGCACGTCCTGCCATCGGCCTTCTTCACAAGTTTTGCGATGCGGGCGCACCCCATTCCATGCTCCACGTGGGCCTTCACCTGGCCTACGTCGAACGCTGACGCGTGGTAGCCGGCCATCTGGGTTGAAGGCGGCCCGCGGAAGCGGGAAGAGGCAAGAAAGGGGTGCCTGTGCCAAAACGGCTACGGACAGCGAAGACGCGCGGTTGGCGAGCTCGCCCACCGCGACCGAGGGCGCACTTCAAGCCCCATGCAGCTCAAACTAACCAACGCAATACAAACGCATGTCATTGCAATGCCAATGCAATGCCAGCCAGCACAATACCAGCGCAATGCCGAGGAATGCCAATGCCATGCCGGCGCAATGCCAACGCAATGCCAACGCAAAGCGACTCCAATGCCAATGACATACCAATGCGATGCCAGCGCAGTGGCAGCGCAATGCAAATGCAAAGCACGTACAGTCCCAATACAATACCAATGCGATGCCCAAGCTGAACCACGTGCCTCCAAGATACTAGCCGGCCGCTCTGCGGTTGATCGGGAGTTTCTGAATATAGAAGAAGGTGCGTGCGCTTGTTGGCGAGGGTGAGGATGAGGTTCCTCCTCCTCCTCCTCCTCCTCCTCCTCCTCCTCCGTAGCCATTTTGGCTCAAGATGATGAGTTCCTCAGGGGAACACGCGGATACCGCTAGTCCGCGGCTGGCAAGACTTCCTGAGGTCTGGCATCTTCTTTGGTTCTCCACACCAGCGCTCGGGTCGGTGGGTAAACGGAGGCCTTTCCCGTTCCTGCCGGCCCGAGCGCATCCAGACTCAAAGCCATGGGCCCTGTGCGGGGGGGCATGCAGGGTGGCGACGGCCGTGATGCTGGCGCTGCTGGGCGTACTGGGGGCAGCAA